AGTGAGGAAGACCATTAATTTGATTTTGGACAAAGGTCAATTACAAAATACAGATATACATAACATATAATAATTTGCAAAATTCAGCAAACTATATAAATTAAACATAAATAATATAGTAATAAGTTTTTGGTTGAAAATATTTTGTATGAATACAGGAATATATTTCGGTACAGAGTTATCGATTTACCGACCCTGTGCACATTTATGTACATGTTTCAGTACAGAGTTTTCGTCCGATTTGAAGGACCTTTTGGACATATATAAATATATTTCAGTGGTCTTTTACTTTAAGGACTTTGTATTTTACTATACAATATTCTAAATGTACAATCATCCCAGGACAGGAATGATTTATATATATATATATATATATATATATATATATATATATATATATCTATATATATAGATATATATATATATATATATATATATATATATATATATATATATATATGTATATATGTATGTATGTATGTATGTATGTATGTATGTATGTATGTATGTATGTATGTATGTATGTATGTATGTATGTATGTATGTATGTATGTATGTATGTATGAATGTATGTATGTATGTATGTATGTATGTATGTATGTATGTATGTATGTATGTATGTATGTATGTATGTATGTATGTATGTATGTATGTATGTATGTATGTATGTATGTATGTATGTATGTATGTATGTATGTATGTGTGTGTGTGTGTGTGTGTGTGTGTGCAAGTTTCATACTCTCATTCAGAAAACGTGTGTCTTGTGCAATAGCAGCCTTAAGTTTTCCGCTATTTGCATAGGTATGATGAAAACAATTTCTATAGAGTGGACCAGACCGCTGAACATGAGCAAGGTAATGCTTTATGACCATCTGGATGGAGTGGTGGGTGGGGAAGACTTTGAAACAAATTTGTTTGCAGACGATTAGAAGAATATATTTTGATCCAGCCGCACTCCTCTGGACTACGTTTGGGCCTTCAAACTTGGAGGTAAGCGCAAAATGACGATAAAATTTTCAACCATATTTTGGAATTCTGCTTTTTCAAGACTGCCTTGCTGCAAAGCTTCAAGTCTATATTTGTTCGGTCTGGCTGGAATGTGCATACGTACGCTGGTTTCCACAGTTGTACTATTATTGCTCTTTCCATGTGTATACTAGGCGTGACCATTCATTTAATCACACAGGTCTTCTTCTTGCTATTATTCTTGATTCTCTTTTTTTCTCTTATGGATTCGATTTTCAATTGCACACATACGCATGCACGCACACACGCACGCATGAACTTCCGTAATTACGTTTGCTTTGGTTTCGTTTAACCAGACTGCTTCGGTTAATTTTGCAAAAGCGAAACTACAACGACATATATCCCTGCTTCTAAATTTGTCTAAACATAGTTTCTGCAATCATTCAAGCCAAAAATATCATTGAAAACTTCAAACGTTAACACCACTATCAATGCAGAATTCCTGTCCCAGTCATGGTTTCGCTCTATCCTTGTTATACTTTTCTGAAAGCGGAACAAGTACAATGAAATGGTGTGTGCATTGCAAGAAATAAGTTGTAGAGAATGTTAGAATACATCTATGCTACTTTCATGTTATGTGACTAATCTTTATTGTGTGGGGTGGGGGTGCATTAAGGAAACAACGCGCTACCTAAAGAAGGCAGCAGCTAAAAATAAAAATGACTATTTCCAATTACTCGCGAAATGAACATGAAATCAAACTTGTCCAAAGTACATTAACTAGTCAAATCAAATCTAAGTACATTAACTTGATCAGTAACTACCATAAAAAAGTAATGTTGCGAGAGAGTAGACAATACTAACTTCCTAATGCAGCAAATAAAATTTACAAAATAATTTAAAAATAAAATTGACTCGGCTCGGTTTCTCTTTCTCTTCTCCAATTTACCTCAGAAGTCCAGAAAAGGAAAAAAATACAAAGCAATCTTTTAAAAAATACACGTCTGAACTAAGGGCAAATTATGTACTTCGTAACCGAAGTTACACAAATAGATCCTATACCAAAATAAAGGGAATCAAAACTTATGTTAACAATATTTAGTCTATTCAATGCCCATTTTAAATAACCCAGGTTACCAGTGAGAAAAATCCGGGAACTTCGCAGCAACAAAAGTTATCGCCTAATGCATTAGCCAATGCAATCGTTTGTTTGTTTGTTTGTTTGTTTTTGTTTGTTTGTTTGTTTTTGTTTGTTTGTTGTTTTTTTTGTTGTTGTTTTTTTTTTTTGTTTTTTTTTTGGTTAGTGTTTTTTGTTTGTATGTTTGTTTTTTAATTTGTCGACAAGCCTCATTTTCTCTGACTTGACGAGGAAAAAAAAACGTTCTTTTAACGGGAAGATCTCACATAGCCACGTGAAAACTAGAAATGGTTTGAACCTGCAACCACTGGCTTCTGTAATCATTCCACAATTAGTAATTCTGATTTAGCACGCATGAATGTAGTCCTAGTTTATTTTAGATAAATTTTTTCCTGTCACCGTTTGGTGGTGATACAAGAGTTAGATTTTGGCATTCTTGGTAAGGATTGAAAGGCGATTGTTTATTCTTTAGAATGTGAGTTTATGGTGTGGTTGTCTGTGTGTATTTCGGCGACATTGCACATTGAGTAATAAGGTCATGGTGATGATCCGGAAGGGAAATCTGTGTTCCGTTGCATGGTGTTTTGTTTACAATTCAGCCTCTCAAAACATTTAGGTCAACCATTGACAAGAACTTCACCGTAAAGTCATCTTTGAATGTACTGTAGATTAGCATATGATTTGTATTGATTATCACACAGTGGAAAGTTTAGTACTGAGAAAAAAAATGTAGAGAATATATAGTAAAATTAATTGTGTTCTATGGCCTTCTGAGCTAATCTGTATTGTCAATAGTAGTGCCTAACCTAACCATCAAATCAGCTCTGCAGTCACTGGTTACATCCTACAAAGCAAACTGTATTAACTGTTTACGTGGACGCAGATACAGTATAGAAACTGTGCACTTTCTGTTACGTCATCACTAGCAACTAACCAGATAAAGCTGTATTCTGTTCATTCGATTTGATTCGGTTTTTATCTTTTCAGGTCTTTTGCTTTGAGGTAAACACAATTCGGCCAGCCTGCCATTTTTGGTTTAGATCTAAATACTTTTATTTATCGCACATAACATACCAAAATCTAAGAAATTTCATACAACAGAGATTGAAAATAGTAGGCAACTTAAAGCAGAGCCGTTTTAAGAAGTTTAGGGACCCTAGGCACAGACTCTAAACTGTTAACACAACCGACACCGAAATTTTGTGTTTGGACCGCCGCAAGGCTCCCTGCTGCACGGGGCAGAAGGCACGTGTTTCACGTGCCTATGCCTTTAAACGGCACTGCCTTGAAGGTTATTACTAGAGTAAAAACCTTATGTTGTCACATACGTGATAGAGGAGTCTGGTACTCGGCAGCATTCACGTCAAACTTATAGAATTTTGTTTCCTGCCCACAATAGTAATTTTGCTAATATACTTCGTGCACTAAACTTTATTCATTTATCTTATCGTTAATAGGAGTCCCTCAAGTGTTGGGAAAGAAAGATATAACAAAAAACTTACATATATCGATCAATGTGATGACGGATAAGCATGATCAATACCTCCCGCCCCCCCTCACTCTCTCTCTCTCTCTCTCTCTCTCTCTCTCTCTCTCTCTCTCTCTCTCTCTCTCTCTCTCTCTCTTCTCTCTCTCTCTCTGTTATATGCACACACTCACTCACACACACACACACACACACACACACACACACACACATCGGTAGCAGAACATCATTGAACCAACATCCCACTTTCAATACAATATAGCATAGACCTTTCTTAACATCGGAAGTGATTTGCACATGGAAAACAAAACATACCGCAATTCGTTCATGTTTTGTTCACGAAAATTTTGGATCTAAATTTTAAATCGAATCTAGAATTTAAATTGAATCTAGATTTTAAATCAAATAGCGACATTAAGAAGAAAACGCGATAACTAGTCTTGCCTTAAACAGTCAAATCATGAGAATGTTACACACGTTGATAGATACGGCTTTTTGTTCAAAATGGTTAAAAACCAGCCTCTATCTGTCATATGCAATCATTTTATGTTTAGCTCTCGGCCATTTGATGTCATTATGAGTTATGGATCAGTGCGAAATCATTTTATTATTGGCAGGCAGTCCGTTCTGTTTGGACTATAATTGTGAAAATCTATAATGAATTAGTCTGTTTATTCATATTAAAAACCCACGATCATGATTTTACTTATTCTTTACTCACACTTTCAGGAAAGAGACCGTCATCTCTAAAATTAGCACGCAATATCAATTTTTTGTTGTTACCACTTCGTATTTATTGATACCCGCCAGTTCTCCAGCGAAGGAGATAGAAACAAAATATCACTACGCTTACTGATTTTTTTTATATTATGATTATTTTTTTTTTTATAAGTTTCAGATGAGTAATTATAATAATATCTACAAAAAGAAAACAATTTTATTAGACAATAATTTATGTTTAAAAATTGGCATTGGTTTTGCGGCATTTTCTACAAACACCGTGTTAAGTCTTTACAATGTTATTGACTATAAACGTGACTTGTGTTATATGCTAGGGGGCCTTATATTGAGAGATGTTAAAGTATACACGTACCGTGTTTTAACAGTGGATCTCTATCACGGCATAGCTGGGTCTCATGAGCCAAAAACTAAATTATCAATGAATAAGCAAGACATACAGACCAAACAAATTTCAACCAATATACCGCGGTATAAGAGGTGCAGCGGAATACTTAGCGGCGCTATACTGAGGGACCACAGTAGTTGTATCTGAGTGAAATTACCTGATTGTATTTTTGTACTTGTTTTGTTTGCTTTTTTGTTACAAATGATCTTTTCAGAATGTGTTTAATCGCATACGTAAGCTTTCTCAACCAAGGATCGTCAAATAACTTCGTTCTGCGTCATACCGACTGCTCCGGTGGAGTAAGTGGTTAGAGCGTCCGCCTCGGATGCGGGAGGTTGCGGGTTCAAACCCCGGCCAAGTCA